TCATGTAATTCCCCAATACTTCTACTTAAAGGAGATTTCTTGCTTACAGTGAATCTTGGATTGACTCCTCAACATCCATTTCAGGGCTGGATGATTACTCTAAGCCAATTGATTCCATCCCTTTTGCCAGTGATGGTTCAAAGAGGGGGGATCCTAAGCCAATATGGTCAATTAAAACTTAAGGAGAGGCTATGGCTTCTGGAAAGGGAATCCAGTTTCACTCATCTATTAGCAAAAAGCATATTACCCCCGCTGCTGCTGAAGCCGTCCAGGCACCAAGAAACAGGGGTCTCAGGCTGAAGCCGTCCAGGCACCAAGAAACAGGGGTCTCGGGCTGAAGCCCTCTTCAGGGTGGCAGAGGAGAGAGAGAACCTGGTGATGTCACTGAGGCACTGAATCCACCAGCCCTGAAGCCAGGTATGCTTCCCACATGTAAGATGATACACTTAATAGTTTAAAACACTTTTAGATGAGAATTTTTTAAACTGCAGATGGAAGCAACATAAATGATTCCTTGCCCTCTCTTCCCCTGCTTCCCCCTGCTGAAAAGGGGCGGGCTATGGAGAATCCCACTCCAGGGAGAACCAGGCTTGCCTGGACTGAGTAGAACAGCTAAACGTGTTGCTCTTTGTGGGCAGAAATGCTGCCCCTTCCAGGCAGGAGTTCCCCATCTTCAGCGAGACAAGCACAGACCCAGATAATTACATGAGATGCCGCTGGAAGAGCCGTCGTTAATTTTGATGGTAATAAACAGTCTTGCCAGCACATTAAACTAATTTTATGAAAGCACTAAGAGGGAGGTCGTGGACTGGATCCCAGATTATTAATAATGTTGAGCTTCCTTTGAGCCATTCAGGAAATTCCTCCCAGTTGCCTCCAGCAAACTGCCACAGGTTGCTACTCTCCTCTGAAATCATCAATCTTCCCATATGCAAATGTGAATTTTTTGTTCTTCCCTAGAAATAATTAAAGTCACAGACCCAATAAATACTTAAACAGATTGTGGTTTTAATTAAAAACCGTTCACCAAGGCTGCAGCTGCAGGTCTCTCTTCCCAAACAGGTGCACTGCTGACAGCCACAAGCCTCAGGATCTTCATTTAAGTATCTGAGACTAGAAGTCTTTACATACAGTGACAGTAATTCTTTTACCTATGTGATGGTGGGTGTGTGTGTGGTGGGCGGGAGGGAGATGAGGAGGGGCATTTGGGGACAGAGCCAGGGCTTGTGAGGGAGGCAGGACACCAGCATGTAGGGGTGTGAGCAGCAGAACTTGTCATTCCAGTACCCAGCTGTGTAAGGCAGGAAGGATGGCTAATTCCAGCTATTGTTGAAAAAAATAACCCATTTCTGAGCAATAAATTAGGTGGTTTACATGCATTAACCCATTTAATCCAATAAAACAGGTATTCTTATCTATACCCTTTTTTATGAGGCACAGAGAGGTTAAGTAACTTGGCCAAGTTACATGATAGAGTCTGTTACTGGGACTTTTCCTCCTAACCACTAGGTCGAGTGTGCATGAGGGGAAGGGGGGGCTGGAAGGTGGGAGAGGGCTCTGTAAACGGGGACTGGCTAACTGAGGGAGGGTTTTCTGCTGGGAATTAAAAAAGGAAAGCAGCTTCTTGGGGGGAGTGGTGGGAACACCGCATGCGAGGGGCTGGGTGGAGACAGGACTGCAGAAGCTGGAAGGTGGGAAGCCGTGAGTGTTTAAGAGAAGCTGGCTGGCCAGCAGCTGTGGGGAGATTCTCCTGAGCAGGTTGCTCTCGGGAGATACTGGATGCCTTTCTGGGCCCTGGCTTTCTTACTTTCTTACTGGCCTTTCCCACTTCCAGCAAATCACTCACCTGCTACATTGACAACAGGGGCATGTACAATTTTGGGTGCAGTTCCAATGGAATAGCTTGCATAATGTTATGATCCTAAACATTTAATCAAACATCTGTTCGTTCCAGTTTTGCAGTTTTCTTTTCCCCTCTTAGAGACAACAGATTTTCTTTTTCAGATCGGGGCATTTTATGTTCCCAACAAAGGCTTAAGACTTAAGGACTGCCTTTTAAGAACAGGACAGTCCTTACAGGACTCCAAGAGAAAGTGCTCACGTTGCACGGGGGAGAAGGAGGAGGAAGCTTTTGTCCCAGGAGCTTCTGCCCCAAGTTCAATGGTTGGTGCCAAAGACTATACGTTCAGCGAGTATTCAGAGAGTGCCTGCGGAGCCCAGGAGCCGGCAACACAGAAGGATGTGAAGCCGGGGCTGCGCCAGTGCAGGATGAGAGGACGTTGTAGATTCCTGGGCCGCAGGCTGGATGAGCGTGGGAAGGAGAGAAAGCTTCAGTGCCTTGGCTAAACGTCCTGCACCTCGGAGCATTGCGCCGGAGGAGTATAGAGCCCAGGGCTGCGCACGCCTTAGTGGGGGGCTCTAGACACAGCCCAGTGCACCCTAACCGCAGCAGCCATTGCCCCGGCCTCTGAGCCCTGCAGACGGCGTCCAGCAGGGGGCGCGCGCGGACCAGACCTGTCTGTGCCCGAGACCTTACACCCACCAGCGGCAGGAGCCAGTGCCGGGATCCACTGGATTTCGCCCCGCCCCACCCTCTGGGCTGTCCAGTCCGCGAGGTCTAAATCAGATGTCAACCCGCAAAAAACTACTGCAGCTCCAGGTCTCGTCCCCTGGGTCTGTCTAGGGTGGAGACCCCAGACTGGTCAAAAAGCCGCGGCCCGGATTCTACAGATTCTGACTGTGGGCCATCCCCCGTGGCTGCTTAGAACCGTGAATCTCCCCTCTTCCCAGCACCACTTCCACGCACCTGATTAGGTGCCTGTTTCTTTAACGATCAAAGACGTAGGCGGCGGCGGGGGTGGCGTGTTCGCTCCCGGTTCCCCAGCTCTTCAGTAAGTGTACCATTATTAACATTATAGACATCAGAACTGCCTCTGCGCGCTTGGCGGCGCCGGGCGAAATGCGTTGTCTTCTGCTAGCTGAGCTCGGAGGCTCCCACCCCAAGCCTGGGCGCACTCTGTCCGGTGCAACACCTGCTTCCGCCCTGCCAAGGCGGGCACTGGACTCTCCGGGTCGAAGGCGGGGGTAAGGGTTGCTTTCCCCCAGGGCAGATTCGGGGAACAAAAGCGCAGGTTACAATGTGGGCAGAAGCCGCAGGGGCCCGCGGGAGTCTGCGCCCCCCGACTGGGTGGCCACCTAACTATAGGCTCCCTCCTGGCGCCTGGAGCGCTGTCTTACTGCTGAATTCCCTAGCTGCTGCACCCCTGGCAAGAGAGCAAGGAAAAGGGATCTTTCTTGGCGCGTGGACCCTGGAGGTTCCAGAGAAGCTGGCGGGGCGAGACCCCGCGGTCAGGGAAGCTCTCCGCAGAAAATGAGTGCGCCCATGCTCCCTTCCACTCCCCAGCCTCTGTCCTCCAGTCCATCAGCCCTTCCAAATTGTCCCCTGACCGCCAGCCTACTCACCCGCCTCCTTGACAAAGGGCAAAAAGAACTAGAGAAGAGCTAAATACTGGGTGGGGGGTTCACGGGCTGTGCGCCTTCACGCCGGGGCCTCGGTCCCGCCCTCTACGCCAGGCGCCCCCACCCAGGAGTTTCCTGGACCCGACATCCGGACTGGACTCTCCATCCTAGCTGCTGGGCCTGCGCCTCCCATTTCCCTCTTCCCGGACCAAGGCTCTTGGAACCGCCCCCTCAGCGTTTCCAAAACGACCCTTTGCTCCTAAAAGAGTCTGTGTCAGGCCGGCCGGCCGTGCCATTCCCTGCCCGGCCAGGCCCAAACCGCAGGGACTCGCTGCCTGGCCTAGGGACCCACTCCCCTCTATCCCACCTCAGGGTCAAGGTGCTCCCGCCCCTCCACCGTGCTTGAAGACACCCTCTCCCTCCCGACGCCCCCGAGCCGCCCCCCGGAGCCGGCCGTGGGGACTACAGGCCCAAGCAGAAGAAGTGAAGTTCTGGGTTCTGAGTTCTGGTCCGAACTAGATACGCTGGTCCCAGCCCGCTGGGGTGCCTGCAGAGACCACTGGGGCAGGAAAGGGGAGCGGGGCGGGGAATGCGGAGCGTGCGCGCACCAGTCTGTTCGTATTTAGTTTACAAAGGATCTTCAGAATCCGAGTCGGGTGGTCTCTTTAGACGCAGCGCTCCTGGCCCACCTCCCTCCCCCACTTCCCCAGCTCATCAGAATGCTCCACACTCAAGTCGGGAGACTGTTCTTCTCAGAGACCCTAAACCCGAGCCAACAGCCCACTGCCCGAGGACCCTGCGGCCGGGTGGGAGGTCTCGGGGCCACGTGCGCCCGGAGAGCTCAGTGTCTACGCACAGGACCGCCGTGGGCAGAGCAGGGAGATAGAAATCAAGTTTCAGCCCAAATGCCTTGACATCCCTGCGCCTCCACCTTCCTGTCCTTAAATGAAATACCGAGGTTTCAGCAGAGCCAGAAAGGGAGAGCCGGGAACAGCGGGTGTTTCGAGTCCGCTGGGGACGGCTGTTGTGTGATAATGGTGTGAGACAGTAGGGCGGTGGCAGCCGCGGAGGCTTGGGGGGGCAGTGTGTGGTGTTGACAGGTGTGTTTGCTTGGGAGGCTGTGAATGTATTGGCCGGGGGTGCGGGAGGGAGAGAGACTCTTACATTTAAATTCCCAGCACAGTGTGCAAGAGGTGCAGCCGATTTGCAACCACCCCTTTCGATGCCTCGGTCTGCTGCAGCCCAGTTGCCCCATTCTGCTCTAGCTGGCAAGAACTCGGGGTGCACGCCTGGGTGCGCTCAGGCCGGATTCCTGGGAGAGTAGGCTGAGACCCGTTCGCCCCGCCCCACCTGGCGCCGGACTATGGGCTTCAAGCGCTGGTTTACCCACAAAAGACGAGATGAAGAATCCGCCTTAAGAGGCAGGCAGGAACGGCAGTGGGCTGGGGAGGGGGCGCTTCCCTGCGCGCCCTGCAGGGCCAAGCGTTCTGTCTTCGCGTTGGACAGGCGGGAGGGGCGGGGAGACCAGGGCTTGTATCTACTCAGATCCAGGCAAAAATGGCAGGGAGGGTGAGGCGCTCTGCTAACACCATCAATTATGCATCGTGTTGAACGTAGCTTCGGGGAGGAGGCGGCTGGTAGAGGGTGTGCAGGAAGGAAGGGTCCGCGGGAGCCGGTCCGCGCGCTGCCCAGCCGGCCCCACTCCAGGCCTGCCTCTGCCACAGTCTGGGGAAGCAAAAAGAGTGTAAAGGCAAAGACACGCCCCCACCCCTTCCGTCGTGCGCCTGTCCTTCCCCAAATTCCTCAAAGACGGTTTGTCTCACGTGTTGCGGGACGTAAAAGCGGCTCGCATTCAATTAGCGGCGAAGCTCACCGGCCCTGGCAGGACCCACGCGTGAGGGTGAGTGCGCGTGAATGTGTGTGCGTGTGGCAGGGAGAGGGAGAAGGTGAGTGTCCCAGGTGAAAGTGTGCTTTTGGAAATGTGCAAACGTATCGTGAGCTCAACACATTGGCGCGACTATTACACGATGATGGGTAATTCTAACATGTGAAGGTCGACTGTGTGGAGGGTGTGAGCGTGTGTGAGTGTGCAAATGTGTTTAAACGTGGTAGGTCGGCGTGATTAGGGGATAGTGACAATGTCTGCAGATGTGTAAATATGGGGGTATGTGGGTTATGGGGGTGCGTGACCTGGGAGGGGCTGAACTGAGGACAATGGGCATGGGGGTCCCCGTGAGACCAATGTGTCTCGGCCACGGGGAAGAGCCTCTATGGCTTTAACAAATGTCGGCGTTGCGGGAGGTGGGAGAGGCTGTGCGCGTCCCTGCCGAGCCCGGGAGCGCGCGGGGACTCTTCAATCTGCAGCCGGCAAGAAGTGAGGAGAACAGGCGCAAAAGGAAAGCCTGAAGTGGGACCTCAGAGCCAGGGGAGTCCCCAGAATTACCTGTCCCCTTCTCTGCCCCTCTCCCCTCCCCCGTCTTCCCCACAGAAGCTCCAACAGATGTGGGAAGCGCCCTTGGGCTGTCGTCCTGGCTCCGCGAGTGTGGAGAAGGGGTTGTAGCCTGAGGGCAGCGCGCCGAGAACCAGCGAGCAGCGGGTAAGCCGTTGGGACCAACCCCACAGACCTCGACCCAGTTTGAGGTAGATCCCGTCTAGGGTGCCGGGGCTCGCAGGGCCCTCTCCCTGGAGCAAAGGCGGCTTGCAGAACCGCATCCCCGGAGACTGTAATGTGGGAGGGGCTCTCGCCAACCTGCCAGGATCCCTAGTAAAAGCGGGCAGTCTGTGTGTACGTCCGTTTGTGCAGCTGAGGAAAAGAAGGTTTTATTGGGGGGAGGGCCCTCAAGCATCGTGGAGCGGCAGAAAAGGGGTGGAATCTTGAACCTTCTCCTGATTCCTTAGCTAGTGGCAGCCCCCATGACCCCTCGGCTGGGGACCACTCTGGCCCCCAGGAGTCCCTTGGGCTCATCAGGAGCGGAGGGGGGATCTTTAGTGATATCCCCCCAGTGCTCCTGGTCCATGTATGGGGAGGACCTCCTTCCTCAGACGGAAGATTGACTAACTGGCTCTTCAGTCTCGGGAGTTGCAGCCCAGACCAGGAGGCTTCCGGGGGCCTCTGGAGGCGGTCCTGCGAATCTGTTTCACCAGGTCCCAAACCTCTTGATTTCCACCCCAAGTTCTCGGCATTGCTGCTCCGCTGGGATTTAAATCTCAGCGGAGGGTTTTGTGCACGCGCAAAAGCACGCCTGTGTGCCTCTGTGTGGATCGGTTCCTATGAAGACTTGTGTCCTTGTATCTGTCAATTGTCACAATGAACAGGAAAGCACTTCGCACATGGTGGAAAAGGCAGAACAAATACTGGGTTCAGCTGTGTGAACAATGAGGTCTCCAGGGTATATCGTATCCGTGTCTGGGTGTCTTTGTGCTTGTGTATCTACGAAATGTGTTGTGAACCTCTTATCCCCTGCAGAAGTTGGCAGTTTGATGGCGGTGCCAGAGTATGTGTCTGTATTGTGCGTCTGTATGGGCATGTGTGCGAATGCCGGGAGTGGGACAAAGAGTTCGAGGGAGGACAGCTGGTCGGGAACAAAAATATCCTTTCTGTGTATACCTTTCACGGAGTTAACCAAAGGCTTAGAAACACAGAGATCGTGTAAAGAGAGCCAAGGGCACACCGGCGAGAGGCCAAGCCTGTGGAGTGGCCAGACCCTGGTGAGGATGTAGGTATGGAAAAAAGAGTGAGGTACAAGGCCGCAGGAAAAGGAAGCCAGTACCCTGAAAGGGGTAGTGCATTGAATCCGAGAGTTTTATTGAGCTCCATTCGTGCCCAAGAGAGGCTCAGGGGCACAGGGAGAAATGTTGAGGCCTGGCTTAGACGGGTTTGAGGAGGCAGAGCTTGGGAAGAGAAGTGAGGCTCCGTGAGTCACCTTCTCCCTCCACCCCCACCCCCCACTCCCCGCTTTCATCTGCAGGATCCGCGATGATGCCCTTGCGGTCCCTGTGGCTGGTCTGGGCACTGCTAGGAGTGGCCGGCGCGTGCCCAGAGCCGTGTGCCTGCGTGGACAAGTACGCCCACCAGTTTGCCGACTGCGCCTACAAGGAGCTGCGAGAGGTGCCGGAAGGGCTGCCGGCCAACGTGACCACGCTTAGTCTGTCGGCCAACAAGATCACGGTGCTACGGCGCGGGGCCTTCACCGATGTCACGCAGGTCACGTCGCTGTGGCTGGCTCACAACGAGGTGCGCACGGTGGAGCCGGGCGCGCTAGCTGTGCTGAGCCAGCTCAAGAACCTCGACCTGAGCCACAACCTCATATCCAACTTCCCATGGAATGACCTGCGAAACCTGAGTGCTCTGCAGCTGCTCAAAATGAACCACAACCGCCTGGGCTCGCTGCCCCGGGACGCACTCGGTGCGCTGCCAGACCTGCGCTCCCTGCGAATCAACAACAATCGGCTGCGCACACTGGCTGCCGGTACCTTCGACGCGCTCGGCGCACTGTCACACCTGCAACTGTATCACAACCCCTTCCACTGCGGTTGCAGCCTTCTGTGGCTGCAGGCCTGGGCCGCGAGCACCCGGGTCTCCTTACCGGAGCCCGACTCCATCGCGTGCGCCTCGCCTCCCGCGCTGCAGGGGGTACCGGTGCACCGCCTGCCCGCCCTGTCCTGTGCACCGCCCAGCGTGCGTCTGAGTGTGGAGCCGCCGCCTGAGGCGCCCGGCAGCCCCCTGCCCTCTGGCCTGGCGCTCATGCTACACTGCGTCGCGGAAGGACACCCCACACCGCGCCTGCAATGGCAACTTCAGATTCCGGGTGGTACCATAGTCTTAGAGCCGCCAGTCCTGAGCGGGGAGGACGACAGGGACGATACGACAGGAGAGGAGGAAGGAGATGGGGACGGGCCGACGCCGACGGAAGCCCCAACCCCCACTCCGGCACCGGCTTGGCCCGCGCCCCCAGCCACCCCGCGTTTCCTGGCCCTCACAAACGGCTCCCTGCTGGTGCCCTTCCTGAGTGCCAAAGAGGCTGGCGTCTACACATGCCGTGCCCACAACGAGCTGGGCGCCAACTCCACGTCAATACGGGTGGCAGTGGCGGCGGCCGGGCCTCCAAAGCATGCTCCAGGAGCAGGGGGAGACCCCGATGCGCAGGCCCCAACCTCCGACCGCAAGTCCACTGCCAAAGGCCGCGGCAACAGCGTCCTACCCTCCAAGCCCCAGGGCAAAATAAAAGGCCAAGGGCTGGCCCGGGTTAGCATCCTCGGGGAGACGGAGGAAGTGCCCGAGGAGGAGGAGGAGGCAGGTGAGGCAGAGGTGGTGGAAGACCAGGTCACAGAGGATCCCGTGGCGGAGAAGCGCTGTGGCCACGGGGACCCCGCGCGGTACGTGTCCAACCACGCGTTCAACCAGAGCGCGGAGCTTAAGCCGCACGCCTTCGAGCTGGGGGTCATCGCCCTGGACGTCGCGGAGCGCGAGGCGCGGGTGCAGCTGACGCCGCTGGCGGCGCGCTGGGGCTCGGGGCCGGACGGGGCTGTGGGGGGCGGGCGGCGGCGGCCGCTCCGCCTGCTCTATCTTTGCCCGGCGGGGGGCGGCGCAGCGGTGCAGTGGTCCCGCGTGGAGGAGGGCGTTAACGCCTACTGGTTTCGCGGCCTGCGGCCCGGCACTAATTACTCCGTGTGCTTGGCGCTGGCCGGCGAGGCCTGCCACGTGCAAGTGGTGTTCGCCACCAAGAAGGAGCTGCCCTCGCTGCTGGTTATCGTGGCTGTCAGCGTGTTCCTCCTGTTGCTCGCCACCGTGCCCCTGCTGGGCGCCGCCTGCTGCCACCTGCTGGCCAAGCACCCGGGCAAGCCCTATCGTCTTATCCTGCGGCCGCAGGCTCCCGACCCCATGGAGAAACGCATCGCCGCCGACTTCGACCCGCGAGCCTCCTACCTAGAGTCAGAGAAAAGCTACCCCGCAGGCGGCGAGGCGGGCGGCGAGGGGCCAGAGGAGACCCCCGGGGAGGACCCTGACGAAGACGCAGAGCAGGGTGACCCAAGCGGGGGCCTGCAGAGGGAGGAGAGCCTGGCGGCCTGCTCGCTGGTGGAGTCCCAGTCCAAGACCAACCAAGAGGAGTTCGAGGCGGGCTCCGAGTACAGTGACCGGCTGCCCCTGGGCGCCGAGGCAGTCAACATCGCGCAGGAGATTAACGGCAACTACAGGCAGACGGCCGGCTGAGCCCGGGGCGGCTCGGCCCGCCCCTTCCCATCCCCCACCTTGGGTGCCAGGGACCAGAAGCCCAGGGCTGGCAGGACTCACGCCCCTCCCAACTGCCGCTCACTCCGCCTCCTTATCACACCGCAATCTGACTACCGGGGGTTTCTAGTGCGAGTGGGACGGTTTCACCAGTTCCCCTGCCACCCACGACGGCTATTGTTCTGAGTCCCCCTCCACGGAAAGCACAGTTACCGCTTCTCCCTTCCCTATAAGACAGCTCGCGCGGACCGTGAATCGGAATCCTTGCGGCTCCCCTCCCATCTGCATCCCATCTTTATTGTTGTTTGCAAAATCCGCCCCACAGCCCGCCACAGGCTCTGGAGCCAAAGCAAATGGGGGACGTTGTAAACATACGGTGGTAATGCTGTGGCTCGGGGGTCAGCCCGGGACCTGCAGCAGGTGTCCCTACCGTGGAGAGCCCTGGGGTTCCGCTTCGACCCCCTACTCCGCCTTTTCCTGGGTGCAAGTCCCCAAAGCCAGGAATCAGCAGCAACTGTCTAGTTTTTAGTTTCACAGCCTCCTTACCACTGGGAACCAAAGCCCTTTTGTCCCCCGACCCCCACCCCCCTGCTCCGCTCTGACCCGCTGGAGCAGAGCCCGGTGCCTGCGGCTCCGGTCAGCCGCCCCGCGCTCCGGTTTTCATATTTTCGTTGTTTTCAAAGGCAGCGACACTCTGGGTCTGGTGCTAACACACCCTTCCCAGCCTCTGGGAAAACTGGGTGTGGCGGGAAGAGGCGAGGCGAATCCATTTTCTCTTTCCCTCTCTCCTAACTTAAGGCGCCGCGGAACCGCGCGCCCTTTTTCTGCCGAGGGTGCGGACTTGGTCCCCGGCCAATTTCGCTGCGGATGAGTTGGGGTTTCCGGAGATCCGTGCACCTGGCAGCTCCGCTTCCGCTGCTGCAAATGACCCAGACCTCGGCTGGGAAGGCGCCCGGGGCGCAGGAAGCCAGCTGCGGCCTCCCAGGCCCAGTCTCTCGTGGAGGCTTGCGCCCTAGTTCGCACAAAGCCTGAGTGTGACCCAGCGGCGGGATCCGGACGCCCCCGAGTCCTCGGGGCTCCCCGCCCCGCCCAGCCCCGCCCCTCCTTCCGTCAGAATAATATTTGCCTGGCGCGAAGTCCTAGACTAGCGTGCTCTGTAGGAGAAAAGTCTGTGTCCTGTAAAGTATGACCGTGTAGTGTAGGGGGGCGGGCGGGCAGGCAGGTGGGCCGGGGGGGAGGGCAGGGAGAGGTGGGCTGCTCGGGCGGGGGTCCTTTCCTCGTCTTGAAGGAAAGGGTCGGGGTTGGGGTGGGCGTTTTCCGACGTCGGGACAAGCCCTGTCTGAGAAGCGCAGCACAAATGCGGGCGGGCCGGGCAGAGGAGGCCCTCGGAGCCCGCGCCCTTTTCTCAAGGCGTCTGTATGTAAACAGTCAATAAAACAATGGATTTGAACTGGGTTTGGTGACTCTTTGTAGGGGTACAGAAGGAATTTGTAGGGGATGCAGGAGGAAACCACAGAAGAAAGGAGCCCCTAGGATCTTCCCACTGGGATCCTTTGTGTGATTTTGTGTTTGTTTTTGCCTGTGATTTTGCCAGGTGTTTACAAGCAATGCCTGCTCTTGGTGCCTCCAACTCCTGGATGGAGGGGTGAACCCATGTGTGATGGGGAGGCCAGAGCGAGAGTCAGGAGGGCCTGCAGGGAGGGAGAGGTGGGACGCTGCTGACCGAACATGGGACCTCTGGTGTTGGGTGTTGGGTGTGGGAGTGTGTTGTGCGTGCACAATCCTCTTTGGCTGACACTGTCCCTATGATGGGGTATGGTTGTGTGTGTGTGGGGACTGCCTCTGAGTTCCCTGAAAAGCCAGTGGGGGGGTTCATTAGGGGCAAGTCTGCTGTGGATTGCACAACAAAGTCACAAATAACACAAACCGCAGAGAAAGCAAATGATGGAAAGCAGAGAAGAGGACACCTGGCTGGGATGATTCCACAGAGCAAGCTGGTGCCTTGGATCAGGAGCCAGGTGTGTGTGGGAGGGGGAGAAGGGTGCTCATTGAGTGATACATGGGCAACTGACAGGGCAACTGTTGGGGTAGGCTAAGGTGGGTGCACATACGGGATCAGGGTTCAAAGCATACTGATTTAATAGTCTTAGAAATAGGGCTTCTTGGGTAGGCAGCAGGAAAGGCAGAGAGGACAAGAGAGGGGCTGCTGTGCTCCTGACCAGCGTCAAGCCTCAGCTGAATTCCTCACTGGACAGGGAGTGACCAGGAAGGGAGGTGGCAGAGGAAGGGAATAGAAATCAGGGGAGCAGATTAAGATTCCATCCCTACTCTCCCTTCTTCCTGCTTCTAATCTCTTCTCATCCCTCCCCTTCTCTGTGGATATCAGGTTTGCCCAGTTGGGCCAGCCAGGCTGGGGACCAGACACCCAGCATCCTATCCTAGCCTGTCTACTGGCAGGAGCAGTGGCTGGGACGCTGCCCAGGGCCAGAGCCCAGTTTCCCTGCCCAGACCAGCAAAGCTGTCTTAGAGTAAAAAGCCCTCTGAGAGTTGCGGCCTGTGCCCAGCCACAGCAGCCCACTCCACTGTCAGAGACACAACTCAGAAATATAATCTCTTATTATAAAAGCTTTGTTCTACCTGCAAACATAGCCTTTGAGCAGGGGACAGAGACTGGCCCAGTTCCCAAAACTGGCTCAGGAATCCACCCACTTGATTGCATTTGGGCACAGGCCTGGCTGGGCCCATGAGGGCTTAGTGGTTTCAGTCTAACCCAGTCCTCTGGTAACATATATGGCGGGAGAGGAGAAGAAGAGATACTTCCTGATCTCCCTGTCCTAAGGATTAGGGGCCCTCCTGGGGCCCCCCTGGGTCCTGAGTGCCCCCAGGGGAATGTGCAGAGTCAATGAGAGTTCAGTCTCTGAGCCAAGCTTCCCACCAGATGAGCACACACCACTCAGCCAGGCCTCATGTTCTGTGGTCAGGGCAGGCCCAAAGGTTCTGCCCACAGGACAGGGACAGGAGGGCGCTGCAACGCTCCCCTGCCTGCCCACCGAGACACCAGGCCCCTCAGGGACTCTACAGCTTCTGGCCAAGTATTTGGCATATGCACAGAATGGTTCCCAGCCTCTGGCCTTCCTTCCAGTCTCCTTCTAAATCTTATTCTGTCATTAACTACCCATCTTTACTTTTTTTTTCTCTTTCTTTCTGCCTCTCCCTTTTTTATTCTTTAAGAAATCTCAGGCTTAGAATGGACTGTAAAGATTCGCTAAATCAACTACCCATTTGAGGTTTAATACTTTTCTAAAGTCTCCATCAGGTGTTGTACAGCCTCAGCTTGTACTTACCCAGAGATGGGGAGCTCAGTACTCATTCCCTGTCCCAAGAAACCAATTATTGAGCAGTTTCAAGTGTCTCTCTCCCTCACTTGACTCCCTCAGGCCTGACCGCCACTGGCATGTGCTCTGTGAGACGCTGCAGAGATTTGGAGGTGTAATGCCCACCTCTATCTCTCATTCCAGGGGTCCAAAGCTTTTCATTCAATGCCAACCCCCTGCCTCTGTTTGAGCATCTACTATGTGCTTCAGGTGCTGAAATGAACTAGCTTAGCAGTGTATTTTGTTATAAAACTTACTTGGATGTTACATGGGAATGGAGTCTGATAGGTTGAGGGGAGAGAGAGAAAGAATGTGTGTACGTGTGTGTATTGGGAGGACCTGGAAAATGGTCGGAGAATGCAGTATGACAGCAGTAGAAACCAGATACCCAGGATGTGGCCTTGAATCAGATTGGAAACCTTTCTGCAGAAAGGTGATTTGAAAGGAATGCCCCCCAATCCCACAGTGTCTCCTAAAGATGAGCTAGAATGAGAGCCATGTTTAGGTCATTAGAGAAAGTCCGTTAATATGAAAGGACAAAGGGACGCAGGGCTTCTTTGAGAAAGAAGCAGCTGGTGCAGGGTCCTCTGCCTCTTGGTCTTGTATCGGACTGTAGCTCTCCCCCCATTACGCTGAATAACAACCACGCTAAAGTTCACATCTCTAAAGAACACTTGAGTCAGTAAATGTCCCGACTGTCACTCCCTGGTGGTGATACTACTCTTGGTTGACCATAAATCCATTTTGGTAGGTAAAGGAAAGTGGGAGGAAGAAGTCTTGATAATGACTGCCTTGCCCCAGATTTGTTAATATCAAGTCCCGGGTCATGAGACACTTCAGAGGAAAAGAGGGGCCTTCTGTCTGCACAACAGGAGGCATCGCCTGTAGAGAAAAAAAGCACGGCTGCGCGAGATCTGAGCGCGAGAAACTGGGGGAGCTTGTCAGGTACACGGTGCTTTCTCTGTCCCAAAGCCAAGCCCAGGTACTAGGACACAAGAAAGGCCCTTTTAGAAGCCATAAAATGCCACATCTGGCCTAACAAATACCTTTTACCTTGTAAATCTCCATAATAAAATATTGACAAGAGCAATTCTGCTGGAAAAATGGGGATGGAGCAAGCAGAGCCATTTTGATTGTAATATGTCAATTAATTGATTGCATTTGCAACTTACCAATCTACACGTATGTGTTCGTTGACAAGATTTTGCCTCAGGACTCAATAGAGAGTAACATTACATTGAAAATGAAAGATCTGTTGTGACGGACATATAAAAGAGATTGAATTACAAAATGTCTTGCAACATCAGTGTTTGATTCAAAATATGGTCAGTGTTTCTAATGAAACTTGATATGGACTTTTTAAAAAAGCCATTCAAAGACCCCATGATGGGTAGAAAATAAAGCTAACTTGTTGAGTTAAATTAGTTGGAAAACCTTTGTATCATCCTTTGGTTGAATAAGTAATTTAGGTAATTTGAAGAAGGCATGATTTTTTAAATTGTGCTAATTGCATATGCTTTGTCTGGACATGTGAATGTAGGTTTAATAATTAAATTTAAGCCCACATGGAATAAGGAGAATAAAAGTGTTTATATTTTTATCAACTGTTTGAACATGTCCCCTTGTGTATTAGGAGTTAATTTGGTTTTGGCGAGTTACATGCATTTTCTCTTAGCAACACTCTAGCAAGCTGGTCCTTAAATTGAGTCTAAAAGCCATTCAAAGCATTGAGCCATTTGAGAGAAAAACTGCCAGCATCACAGAGATCAGAGAGGAACTTCACAAGAATTGCTCAATGTTGAAATGGGAAAAGAATGGAAATGGAGAATTAATTATCAATGCTTTTTAATAAAAATGGCTTATATGTGTTAGGTTGGATAAAAATGCTAATGGTCACCTAATAAATATTAATAATAAACATTTAATTAAAACTAATTAAACAAAAGACTAAAAATAATTAAATGAAAAAGTAGTTCATGTTCACTGAACTCTTACCATATTCCAGGCACATATTTTGTGGAATTTATAAGCGTTATTTTATTAATCCTTACAATAATCCTGTGAGGGGTTAATATTGTTATTTCAATTTATAGGCAGAGAAACCAAAGAGCAGAGAAGATTAGTAATTTGCCAAAGGTCACACAGCCAGTGATTTGCAGGATTGAGATTTGAATTTTTGTTGTCTGACTGACACAGGGTTCTTGGCCACCAAGCCAAATCTCCTCCTGACATGTCTATAAATCAGTTTTTAAGTGAAGGATACTATATTTTATACATTGTTCATTTTGCTGCTAATTGTGGAGTTTGTCTAGAAAAAAGGTTTCTCTCACTGTCTTTCTTGCTTCTCAAAGTGGCCTGTTTTCCTTGATTATAAAAGTTACGCATGCTTAAATGTAAATGGGTATAGCTATATTGGATCAATCTTTAACCATATACTAAGGTTAAAGATACATATGGCTTATGATTCAGCAATTTCATTTTGGAGCATATACCCAATGAAAATGAGCACTTATGTCCACCAAAAGGCAAATGTCTTTCAGAGGACACAAGCACCAGAATGTTCATAGTGACTTTATTTGTGATAACCCCAAACTGGAAATAAACCAAATATTCACCAAAAGTAGAATGGGAGAAAACACCGCGGTATAGTCATACAATGGAATACCACACGACAATGGAAAAGAACATATTGCAACTACATATTCATAGCATGGATGTCACAATGTTGAGTGAAGGAAGCCAGACACTAAAGAACATGTAACGCATGATTTCAATTATATGAAGTTCAAACATAGGCACAACTAACTTTTTTTGGTGAT